TATGTATGCCTTGAGCCCAAGAATGGCATGTAAGTATGCTTCTATTGCATATTCCGTATTTCCCATGCTTTCCCTCTCATTCTCTCAATACGTATAAATTCACTCATATGACTTCTCCTTTGATCACAGATCATTTCTCAGAATGTGTGGAGAGACATGCATATGAAACTTATGATAAATTTGTCAAAGTTCACGGGGGTATGTATTTTATATATCTACATACATATATATAAATATATGTGTGTGTATTTTGTGAATAGCTATTGTTAAATTTGCAAGTTTATTCCTGTTTCACAGATATTGGCATATTTTAATCTTTCTTGCACATGGATATTTCTTATAAATTTCCGTTTATTCAGTTACATGGTGTGCATTATTGTTAATTTCAAGAATAAATTGGTGAAGTATATTAAACTACTTGCGCAGATGAGTTGAGGAAAGTTGCAGCACCAAAGGTTGCTGTGAGATACTACACTGAAGGCGACTTGTATTTGTTTGGTCAGCCTTTTTTTACTGTTATCATTGTTCTACTTTACTATGAGCTCGGGTGAAATATGGCTAAAATTGATGTAGTGGTTGAATCTATTGTTAGTTCATTCATTCGTTCATCATCACTCTAGTTCCTCAAAGGCTCCCATCACGTTGGCGTAAGAGGAGGTGAAATGTACACAGTCTTACATCCGCACTAAAGAACAAAGAGATTGCTTCCAGATGACTCAGAGTGAAAATCGCATCGGAAATTGGACTGACTGTTGTTTCATAACAAAGAAGCTCGGACAATTTAATGAACCATTTTGCTTTATTCCATCATATTCCCAAATAAAAAAATAGTGAGTCCTTGGCTCCATTGCAAATGATGAAAATGAAATGATGAAGTTAGTTATCCCCCAAAAAATATAATAATTTTGGACGTGATTTTCACTATGGGCATCCGGAAACAGTCTCTTTGTGCTTTAGTACATGAGTAAGACCGTAAGACTGCCTACATCCGACCCCCCTTACCCCACCGTAGGTGGGAGCCTTTGCGGCACTGGGGTAAATGAAAATGATGAACAATGAAATGAAAACATGTGGAAATAATATATAAAGATTAAAGTGGCATTTCCTGTGGTTTCAGCCAATAGTATTTCTCGCATTACATTTATCCTATTATTAGCCAATTCAACCATGCACATTACAAAGGGGCACTGGTAAGTAATATCTCTAAGGGTTTGTAAATTGTCTCTCAGATGAATTCCAGACTTCAAGATTACCCAATACTCGAAGACCGAAAATAGGTAAGCTTTGCCACTGTTTATTACCTTTATTACCTACCATAGCCGGATAAATGTCTATGTATGTTGGTTCAAATTAATAGATCATTCCTATAAAAGTTTAGAATTTCTATGGTCCATCAACTTTGAGATGTATCATTTTTAAATCATGCTCTTCTGCCATTGCAAAAAGTGCACCGTGGTGAGGCAAGGTTGTACCGATGCACATTTTGCGCCAGAAGCATCACTGCATCAGAACTGCCCCCTATGTGTGTGTAGTATTTGAAAGATGAATGTTGCATAACTAAGGAGTTCAATAGTCAATGGTTGTGTTTGGTGTGTATAGAGAACTTGTATGACGTGTTTGTGAATGTCCGAGAAGACGAAGCTGAGCATTGCAAGACAATGAAAGCGTGTCAGACACACGGCAGCATTCGGTCTCCTCACTCCTATGACTCTGAGGAAGAGTGTGACGTCTCCTCTCCTCTCCATCGCCTTGATTGTGAAGGCCTCGTTGACTGCATTAAGAAAGCTGTTGTTGCTGATCGTTCCCTCCCAGTCAAGCCGAAGTAGAATGGGCTGCGTCATATTATGTGAGAATATATTAGTAGTTGTAAGCTTGTAGTAGTGTGCTAGAAGACAAAGAGTAAGAAGAAATTACCACACAGTTGTAATACATACATCCATATACATATGTTACTGAAGAAGAATATCAAATTTCTGTTCTACAAACAATGGTGGAAGAGATGCAACCTTGAAAACAAATGAAAGAAAGCCCGAATTTCTTTAATTGTATTATTATTTGAGTAAATGAGTAGCACAAGGGATGGTGCAGTGTGAACATTAAACATTTGAAATGACATAAGAACCCCAAATAAAGCAGTTGCTATACTGTGTCACTGTGATCGAGAGCAGCCCACGGTGAATATTCTACTCCAGTCCTGGACTCGGGTCGGGTGGCCCGACCCGGAACCGGCCCGGGACCGGTACTGTGATGAACCGGCCCGGCCCGGTGGCCCGGCCAGTGACCGGTCCGGGTAGGTCCGGCCCGGGGGGTTCCCGGTGCGGGCTCGGGTCACCCCAAAAGCCGAACCGACCCGGCCGGTTCGGGCCCGGTTCCGGGTTTTTTAATTTTTTTTCAATTTTTTTTAACTTTTCGGGTTGGGCTGGGTATTTTGGGTCATTTGGGGTGGGTTGGGGGTGAGGGGGGTGTTAATTAGGAAAAGGAAAAAAAATGACCCGAGGCCCGGCCCGGACTCAGTGGCTACACGGGCCGGTCCCGGGCCCACTTATTCAGAATCGGCGGCCCGCCTGGGCCTAGACCTGGCCCGGACTGAATCCAGCCCTATTCTACTCCCACATTCAAAACACGCGTGAACAATACATGCTTGAACAACTTCTTTCTGTTTTGTTTTGTTTTCTTGTCCGAGTAGCAAAATGATGTAACTCGCATGTAAAGAAATGTAATTCACGTTAATAAGAAATATAACCGCAGGCAAGTCCAGATGTAACTTTTCTAGTACGGAGTATAAGAAATAAAACAAGAAGTCTAATTGCTCAAATACTTTACATGAATAGTGAATATGTTTTGTTTTTAATGGCCATAAAAATGTTTTTTTAAATCATTTGTTTTTGCCAACAAAATCATTTTTTTGTTTTCGTGAAAAAACATTTTTTTGTTTCAATACCAGGAGTTTATTTTGTGATGTTACTCGTGTTATGGAAAATGTAAACCGCATGGAAAATCTAACTTATGTTTATGCAAAATGTAACGTGTTGAGACAAGTCCAAATGTAACTCGCGTATAGGAAGATGTAACTAATGCATAAATAAGTATAACTCGTGCATAATAAAATATAGCTTCATATACTATCAAATGTAAACAATGAAAACAATAAGTTTAATTGTTCCATTAATTTATGTACGGAGTAAATAGTGAATATGTTTTGTTTTAATATTAATGCCATAAAAATGTTTTTTAAAAAACTCATTTTCTTTTGGAAAAAAATGACTTTTTTTTTTGCCAAAGACCATATTTTTTTTTTGCCGAAAAACCATCCTTTTTTGCAAAAAATAATAATCAAAAAGCGGATTTTTTTTGTATCAATAGCATGAGTTTATTTTGTGATGTAAGTATGTAACTCGTGTTATGGAAAATCTAACTCGCGTTGATGAAAAATCTAACTTAGGTGTATCCAAAATTAACTTGTTGATACAAATCCAAATGTAACACGTGCATAGGAAAATGTGAGTCATGTAACTCACGCATAAAAAAATGCAACTCTGTATACTATTAAATATAACTCCAGAAATTTTCTATAAACATTGTGGAAATGTAAACGACACATATAAAGATGTAATCTCATATTTTATCAAATGTAAATCGAAATAAACAAATTTAAAGCACTATATATATATATATATATAAAGATATGAAATATGAAGTATATTATAGGGAAATGTGTATGGATATAAAAAAAATATTACAAAAAGAATGTTATAGAAATAAAAATAGTGTATGAATATGAAATGTAATACACTTATTTTATTTAGATTAATACTTCCTCCGTTCTTTTTTAATTGCAACAATCAACATTTCACGTTTGCCAACGCACAAGTTTGACCATCAATATCTTTCATTTTTATTTAATAAAAAATTTAAAAAATTCATATTTTGAAAATTTAGAATGAGAAGAATTTAACAATATTTTTTAAAATTTTATTTTATAATACATTAATAAATAAAATGTAGTCAAAGTAGAATATGTGAATTGTGCAAAAAGTCCAATGTTGCAATTAAAAGAGAACGAGGATATTATTTTTTTTGTTATGAACTGACAAAGAATAAAAATTAGATTGAGTTGTAATTTAAGTTGAAGATAAAAGAAAGTAAAATTGTAATTACATTTTTAGTATTTGATGAGGAAGAAAAAAGGAATTGTAGAAATATAAAAAAAAAAAGCAAAGAGAAAATGGAATGCGATGCGTACGTATAGGGAAATAATTAAATGGGTCATGAGATTGTGGCACACCATGCACATGGTGTACCAATTCCACAGTATAATCTACGTAAATAAAGGCATATTGCTAACGTAAGACATCATTTAGGGAGTGTCTGTGTTTCCTTCTACTTTTTTTGCAACATCTTTACTTCTACTTTTAAGAAGTCGTTAATAATAGAAATTATATAAAAAGTGATTAATAGTAAAAGTGAATAATGTTTAAGAAAAAGATGGTTTAAAAAAGGAGTAAAGGGTCAAATTGGTGCTTGAAATTGCATAAAAAGGGTCAAATAAGTCCTTATTGTCTGGCCGTCGCCATTGGGAGGTTTCTGACCGATTTTTTTGATGAACTTTTTCGAGCATCTTATTCATTAAATCTAGTTTACTCATGCCAAATTTCAGCTAAAACTTCAACCGTTGAGACATTCAAATGAATTCTTGAAGATAACTGCGCTTTTAGCTACGCAATTATCTTCAAGAATTCAATTGAATGTCTTTCCGATTGATTTTTTAGCTAAAATTTGATATGAGTAAACTAAACTTAATGAGTATGATGCTCAAAAAAATTCATTAAAAAATTCCACCAGGTAGCGTCCCAAATGGTGATGGCCGGACAGAGCCTCCTATATAAGGACTTATTTGACCCTTTTTATGCAACTTCGAGTACCAATCTGACTCTTACCTCAGAACTTATTTTACTCCTTTGAAGTGGGATCATGATGCATGAGATCGATTCCAAAAACAAAAAAAAAAAGAATTTCGAGGTCCCAAACGCATCCTTAAGAATCACGAAAAGATCAACCCTACCTGCCGAGAGTGGAGCTTACCTGTCGCCTCTCGGTCACTTCTCAGAAGTGCCCGTCAACTCGCCGGCATCATAAACGCAGCTGATTCCTAAACGTAATCAGCTGCATGGTGCGTCTCCTACACAGTTAAGCCACACTCTCTGCTCTAATATCTCCCTGCTGCCGAAAGGAAAACCAATTCTTCAACCTAACCCATACCTCTCCAGCTCTTGTAACTGCTGACACCGCCGAATTTCTTTCAAGGTCTGGTCTCTCTGTGCTTCATAGAATTGATGTATATGTGCACCAACAATGAATTTGCAACTGTTTCATTGCATCTCTTAGACGTAAAACCTTGTTTTGTATGGATTAATTATTGTCTTGTTTAACTAAGAAAGGGACCCCATTCTTATTTCCTAGTTTAATAGCGGCACACAAATCTCAAAATCATCCAAAGTTATAACTTTATTAATAAATTGATATATAATAATTTGAGATTGAATGAATGAAGTAATATATGACACCTTTGTTCCTTTTAGAAACATTATATTGTTCAAATTACACACTATTTTCTGTGAAAAGATGAAACACATGTTTCTTTTACTTGCAGCAATTTCCATTTGGAAAAAAAGAAAACCTTTTTTGGAAATTAGGAATTCTGAGAAAGTAGAGTGTAGGAGTAGCACATGTTGAGCATGACACATGGAGGAATCTATGTATGAGATGGCTTAGTCATGTTCGTAGATGTCAATTGGACACATCCTTCAGAAACATAGAATGTGTGTTAACATCCTACATGATGTGTGTAGAAAGATTGTGTAAAAATTATTAGAAAATAATCGTTTTACCGCTACACTAATATATTTCAGAAATATAGTCAAACTCGGACAATCCTACGCGTTGACTCGCGATTTTGACTATGTTAGAGTCCTCCAAGATTACAGCAATTACAGGAATTATTATCAAGAAACAAACTGAAATTCTTTATTGAAGAAGATGAACAGTACAGTAACCAGGCCGAAGCCCCCAAAGATAAGAGAAACCGACTTTCTCAGATCTTCCCAGTTCCCAGAGACTAAACAGTCCAAAAGCCTCCTTCTTATTTCTCCCTCCCTCTATTTATACTTACTTATGGGCCAGCCCAATACTAACTAGTACCTAGCTCAGGACCCTTTAACATCCTATCACAAATATTAGTTATACTTCTATTATTATACTAATGGGTTCCTATCAGACTACCATGATATTTCTGGCTACGTGTTCATCATAAATTCATAAGATGAACCCATTCGTGACATGTAAGTGATATGTTTAGTTTGGGCTTCTTTTTCAATTTGAAGAAGGGTGATCAATTCCATTTAAAAAATTGGAGGGGAAGAGAATGGCTTGTTTAGTTATGGAAACTGTTTTGCATTTTTTTTATTCATTCCTGTGAAAATATGGGGGTTTCCACAAGAGCCATCCACTGTGAGAACCTTGTGAAGAAGTCAAAAACATCAGGAAAGAATAAAGCTGCCTTAGCAAAGTGATCTCCTCTCATGAGATAACTTTCAGGTGCTTTAATTGAATTCTGCAAGTCAAGCTTGGAATAGCCAGGTAGGCTCTCAACCCATGGCTGCCATTCTGCATCATGTACTCCTGAATATCCTAAAACCATTTCCTTTGCTTTCTGAGGTTGTTGACTTTTGACAAGAACATTCTTATTTTCATCTTTCTTATTCCTTTGCTTGATTACAAATTCAGTTGACATCTGCAAATCAGTAAAAATTCCTTCTGATGACAATGGATGATGATGATTAACTAGCGAGCTGGGCACTGTGGTACTCAATTTCGCACTGGAGGAAATTCTTCGTGACTTTGATGAATCTCGTCTTACTGTCTTCCCTGTCTTCGGCCGGCGTTTGGGTGGGAATTCCTTCATCAAATCTTCCTTTAGAGCCTCCCAGCTGTCTTCTCCCTTATGAAAATCCCACCATTGAAACCAGCCATCTGCGGCTTCCCCCATTGCCTTTGCTGCCATGTCCACTTTAAATCTTTCTGCAATAGTGTGGGTTTGGAAATATCTCTCCATCTTCTTTATCCATTCATATGCTTCTTCCTCGTAGAACAGAGGTAATTCCTCCTTCTTTGAAATAGCTGACTTTAGAGAAACAGCTTTAGAATAAGATAGGGAACTGTGAGAGTCCTTTGATGACAAAGATGATGATTCTCCCCTCCCTAGCTTCTTTCTTGAACGCGTACTGATGCCCGTTGAAAAAGTCTGAAGCGAAGATTGATGATAAGAATGATGAGAAGTGTTCTGCAAAGAGCGATGGTGATGCGAATGTTCGGAATTTCTTTCCAATTCCCCTGAACCGACTGATTTTCGCGAGTGGCTCGAGTGGTGATGGCGAGGTGAATGATGATGGCGAGTAGTGGGATGCGAGGAACGATGCGATAAAGTCTGCGCCTGGTGAGAAACAGTTCGCGATTTGGACTGCGATTCCGTCTGCAACTTTGGCGATTCCTTCTGCGACTTGGACCTCGACCGATCTCCAGGTCTTATGCGAATACTCTGTTCTTCCGATTCCTCTGGTTCAATCGGATGTTGCGTACGTCCATGATGAGAGTCTCGATGCGACCTACGTGAAGTGTGCGATCGATTTCGCGAACAAATCTGAAGTTGGTTCTGCAAATCGGCGAAACAAGCTTGGATCGCTGCTTCCATCGCTGCTATATTCGTCGCCATATTAACTTGCATCTCCTTGGTCTTTCGATTCAGATTTTCAATTCTTTCTTCCATTTGTGGCGTCATGTAGAAATCCTCCTCCATGGTACCAATGATTCAGATTCTCTATCTCCAGGAAATAACGGCTCTGATACCAATGTTAGAGTCCTCCAAGATTACAGCAATTACAGGAATTATTATCAAGAAACAAACTGAAATTCTTTATTGAAGAAGATGAACAGTACAGTAACCAGGCCGAAGCCCCCAAAGATAAGAGAAACCGACTTTCTCAGATCTTCCCAGTTCCCAGAGACTAAACAGTCCAAAAGCCTCCTTCTTATTTCTCCCTCCCTCTATTTATACTTACTTATGGGCCAGCCCAATACTAACTAGTACCTAGCTCAGGACCCTTTAACATCCTATCACAAATATTAGTTATACTTCTATTATTATACTAATGGGTTCCTATCAGACTACCATGATATTTCTGGCTACGTGTTCATCATAAATTCATAAGATGAACCCATTCGTGACATGTAAGTGATATGTTTAGTTTGGGCTTCTTTTTCAATTTGAAGAAGGGTGATCAATTCCATTTAAAAAATTGGAGGGGAAGAGAATGGCTTGTTTAGTTATGGAAACTGTTTTGCATTTTTTTTATTCAGCAGGTTTCTACTTATCAATTTATGTTTCCAACGTTCCAATTATTGTTTTCCAGTTTTTTCTATTTGTCTTATCTAACTTTCTATTTTCTGTTTACGTTTTCTCATTCTCTCATTCTATTTCATGCTTTCAAAACTATAAAATATTCTTCTACCAGCACTGTATGACTATAAAACATATACTCCCTCCGTCCCTTAAAACTTGGCCAAGTTTGACCGGCACGGGGATGAATAAAGTAAAAACATATACTGTTTTTTCGTTTTCTTTCTTTAATATTTCACGATGTTTTCTTTTTTTCAGTGTTTCGCTTTGTAACTCTTCCATTTTAAAGCCATGCGCTGATAGCTACCATATTCCAGGTAGAACATGCAAATCAAGCTATCTTTTCTTTGCAAAGACCGGAAATTCCCCATATGAGTTGCCCTTCCATTAGCATCGTCTAAAGCTCTACAATATGAAATCAGATCCATTAGATTGGGTAGAGGAAGCCAAAGATCCTTCATTCTTCCCATTAAAAAGAAAAAGGAGTTTTAAATCCAAAAGACTAGAATTCATAGGATGGGGATCCAGGCCTTTGATTGAATTTCTCCAATCAATTGGCAGGGAAACCAATAAAGAGTACTCTAGGCATGAGGTCAATGCCTTAGTCATTGACTATGTACGTTCCAACAACCTTGTGAATCCACAAAAGAAGAAGAGGATTGTATGTGATGAAAGACTTCGGATGCTTTTTGGGAAGAAATCAATATCCAGGATCAAAGTTTATGATTTGTTGGAAACACACTTCATTGAGAATCAGGATGAGTCTGAGGAAGAACACGAACACAGTTCATCAGAGGATGTAGATGGAGAGACTGGTTCTTTGATTATATCAAAGGAAAGAAAAATTGCAGTACAACAAAAGAAGATCCAGGAGGCCCCTAAAAGCAGTTTTGCCGCCCTTACTGCTGAAAATATTAAGCTTGTCTATTTAAAGAGGAGTTTAGTTCAGTCTCTTTTGAAGACCCAGGAGAACTTTGATAATATGGTAGTGGGAAGCTTTGTGAGGATAAAATCTGATCCTTATGATTTCTTCCAAAAAAATTCTCACCAGCTTCAGCAAGTTACAGGTAATGCTCACAAAAGTTCCAAACTTCCAATTCATAATTTTATGTTCCATTTATAATAAATAAGTGCATGTAACCTAGGTAAGCTCATCCAAGTAATTGATTAATGCTGCATAATATTACCTTTCAATGTTCTATCAGTACGTCCATTGATATTCCCATAGGCCATAACCAACGATATAGAATACACATGGAGAACAAATTTTCTTTGTACGATTTACTTTTCTTACATCAGAAATAATATGCGGTTTGTATCCACTTGCTGTTGCATTCAAAACCGAGTTACTGAAAAAAGATTAATAGATTACAATCACTAAGAAATTGCAGTCTATTTTCCCTATTTGAAAAAAAAAGATTCTGTCTCTTTCATATTAGACTATTAGAGTAATAAATTCAGATTTTTTAGAACATGGCATTTAGTCGTTGGGGTATATGCAGTTTACATTTTAGTTTTTCACAGTAATGCTGTTAAGTCTCACAGGCCTCTTTTAAATATCTATTTAAATAATGAAATTGCATTCTCAAATCTCAAACACGGATGATTAATTTTTTCTCAGTAGGGTGAACCATTTTACCTTATCTGCTAAAAGTTTATTCAAAACTTTAGAGCAAATGTATCTGCTCCCCGTTGAGAAGAATTGCTTCTTTACAGTACTACAATATCCAATTTTTGTTAACACACCTTTAACTAGATTGCTCCTAAATACATAAATAGGAATATCGTTGTCCTTGGTCACGGAAATCCTAACACATGGGGATATCATTTTGTCCCCAAGTCTATCATTCTGCAATTTCTCCCTGTAGGCTGACTTTATTAAAGTTTTTCAGTGAATCATATTGACTTAGTATCATAGTCTGTTGCACCTGGATGCCTTGTTGGGGTTTGTTTGGTGATGAGGTCAAATAGTTACAGGTGTAAAGAAGACGTTTCAGTCTGTAGATACTGGCGCAGAAACTTACCTTCAGCTCTCAAGTTGGTTGAGAGATGTTTCCATATCTTCACTGTCAGATGACGATTTCACAGAGGTAAAGAGCTTGTATCTGTTATAAATTTATATTTTGAATTGTGTTTAACAGTTTGTTCTATTGGAACTGTGCGCAATTGGTACTACTAGTAATTTTTATTATTCCGATATAAGTTTTGATTCTTTTGTTTCTCCCGTAAAAGGCGAATGGTAATTTAAAACCGAATCTGAGAAAGTATTAAGTATGTAAATATCCAACTATTTGAGAAGGCCTTTTCCCCATTTTTTCTATGAAAAAATAAGCACTAATTTCTAAAAATTATTTTTAACTAATAATGTTGGGATGTCTCTGGTAATTACGTGTTGTATGGCTTGTTAAAGTGGATGAAACCTTATGGGCTTAGATATCAAAAATGCAAAATCATCTAGAGAACGTTGAACCCTATCAAAGCTTGGGCGCTGTTTGTAGAATGGTCCTTGCAAGAATCTTCTACTTTTTTTCTTTCCATCCCCCCACTTTCTAATTAAATTACTCCGTATAACTTATACCCATCACTTTGGCAAAAGTACATTTTAGACAATTAGACTTTACGTCATTCTATATTAGTTATCTTTCCATATTTTTTTTTCAGGAAGAATGCGAGGATTTGAGTGAAAGAGTAAAAGGTGGTCTGCTTAAAAGACCTACAGTTGTAAGTTTATTTAAGTACCATTTTTACAAGTGATCAATTATGATTGATCAACCTTATCTGTATATATATTTTACTCTGTTTATAACTATATGTCTGTGACATTAGGATTTTTTCCCCCGGAATTTGGCTTTCTGACAGGTGGATTTTGAATTAAAGGCTCATATTCTGCATGAGGATATCACCCGACATGTAAGTGTTCTTTTTTATATTTTATTTTATTTTATTCTTAAGGAGTATTCATCAAGATTAAACTTAACAAGGAGGAATTTAATTTTTCTGTTTTAGATAGAATGGCCACTTACAGTTGTTAACCTCTTATGATGTTATGATCTTGAATCTAGGTTCATATGACAAATTGATCCACATGTAATACTATGTAAGGAAAAGGTCAAAACGATATGTGAGATGAGCCCATGGCCAATTCAGCCCCAATTCACTCTGAGAGCTTAAAGAAGCTAATATAATTACACACGTTTTCCTATGCATTTTAATCAATGAGTACTCGCTACTTGTCTCAAGACCTTGCCAATTTGTTTGCCTACTGGATGAGATTCAAAAAGCGAGTTACTCAGTGAGTATTCTGTGATTTGTGTCAGTGAGCCTGAGTACATGGCAAATAATTTACTACTTAGACATGTAAGAAAATAACGAGTCATTGTCAGATCAAACAAGAACTCAGGGACTTCAGTTCAATGAATTACTTTTCAAGGTTATAGTAGTTTGTGGAACTACAAATTCTCACTCAAGATGTGTTTGTGGGCATGATGAAGATGATGCTGTTCTTGAACCAATTGATGATTAACTTAGGAACCAAAAAGTTAGGATTTTAGGAACTAAGAAGTTAGGAATGATTAGATAGTTGAATCTTTTTTAAATGCTCTTTATGAATTTGTGCTCGTTATTTTGGATTAATGGTTTTCGCTTTGCATATAGAAGACTTTATGACCAACAGTATTTAGAATTCATAGCGCATGTTTGTTAAATTGTATTAATACAGATTACAGGCTGAGTAGTCATCGGTTTCTCGAGAGTTGTCTGTTCTAATCACTATTGGGCCTTTGACTGAGTAGCTACTAAGGCCTTGTTTGGTTCAAAGGAGGGGAGGAGAGGGGAGGGGAGGGAAGGGGAGAGTCAAGGAGGGAAGGAAAGGGAAGGGGAAGGAAGTATTTTGATAAAAAATTGTGTTTGGTTGGAGGAAATAGGAGGAAAGGTTTAATGAAAATATTTTCCCAATCTACCTTTATTTGATAGCTTAGTTAAAAAATAGATACATCTCTAACTATTGTGAATATTACTCATAAGGTTATAGTCATAACATGTTTTTTTATTTTTTTATTTTTTACTTTTTAATTTTTAATTTTTAATATTTATTTTAGAATTTTTCATTTTTGAATTTTCAATTTTTGAATTTTTCGTTTTTTAGTTTTATTTTTTAATTGTTTTATGTTTTTATTTTTAATTTTTTGATTTTTAAGTAATTTAATTTTTTAGTTTTTTAATTGTTTTGATTTTAATTTTTTAATTTTTAATTTTTATTTTTATTTTTTAATTTTTTAATTTTTTAATTTTTTAATTCTTTTATTTTTTTATTTTTTATTTTTTAAATTTTCAATTTTTTTTTTATCTTTTTCCCTTTTTATATTATAATGTTTTGTTCATTCACGTAGGAGATGGATAGTTTGTGGTTATCAACACGTTTCCTCCGAAATACCCCGATTTGGGGTTTGAGACTTGAGAGTGAGAGGAAGTGGAGGATTTTGGAAGCCTTCGACTTTCCTCCCCTTTCCCCCTCTTTCCTTCAACCAAACACACACAAATCACTCACTACCCTCCCCTCCCCCCCAAAACCCTCCAACCAAACAGGGCCTAAGTGACAATGTTATTAATTACTCCCTCCGTCCCTCTAACTTTGTCTCGTTTTACCTTTTTCGTCCGTCCCATTAAGTTTGTCCCATACCATATTTGGTAATATTTGGGTGGTTACAATCCATTCTTACTTTATTCACACTTTATCAATTCAATACCAACCACACAATTCTACTTTTTCTTAAAAGTTGTGCCACACCCCTTTGTCCCAAACATAGTGAGACGGAGGTAGTAGAAATCTTCTGAAAAGGTTGCACAGAACTGCAGAAGTAATAAAAGTAGACTAATTAGGATCGTAGATGATAGATATGGAATGCCTGAAACACATGGTGTGTTAAAATAGGTCCTGTCCACACGTGCCAGGATGTCTGCCACCTTGTTAGTCACCTATATATATGGTTAAGAATGTACACAAAATGCTTCAATAAATCCTCATACCTTTTCTTTTAATGTGATGTTTCAAGTGGATCCACTGTTCCCATTGATCACCTCAATGATTTCTGAATCAATTTTAGTGCAAATATCTTCAACATTTACCTGGGAAATGTTCTAAAAGAATCAGATCTCTGTACTACTGGCTGCTGCTGGACTTAAAACCACAAATCCTTGACGGTCTCATTTGATCTGCAATCCTTTTTACCTGCATTCACATTAGAGGTTCTGCCAGTATTTAGTTAGACACTTTGACTAGCCTGAAGAAGACTTCAGCCAATAAATTAACCTTAGAAGCTTGGGCTGGACACTACACTAATGGAGCTTAATTTTTAATGGTGACTGTCCACTGTTTCTCTAATCAACAATCAAAAGGGTGGACTGATGATGAGTTCTCCTGTGAGGGTTTAGTGATGTCATAAATGACCTGATCCATGGTGTACAAATCCCCTGCAAGATGTACCTTATTCCCCACTCTCAAAGCTCTCAGGTGAAAAGATGATGCTAGATTGAAGAATCTGCTAGTTAGTCCCAGCAAAACCAAAACGAAATTTCGAGTAAAACTGAAAGTACTATACAGTTTTTAACCAGTAATGTTAAAAAGGGTCCAGACATTATTTCAAGTTTCAAGAGAGGCACATCTTTGGCAGTTCAGATTTTCTTGAATGCCAATACGTGGAAGTTGAGGTGCAGAAGAGAGTATTTCATTCCACAATCCCGGAACAGATAAAGATGCCAAGTTAGATTATCATGATCTTCTGTAAACTTAAACTCAGTTTCTTCAATTAAGTTGGCAAAAAGTGTTTTCAAGCTTCACTACTGGTTTCAACCACATTACCATGACCACGAAAAGCATGCCTAATTTGCTGTCTTTATTAAAAAGGTAATCATGCATTATAATTCTGCTCTTAAATTGGTCCAATCTGCAGCATTTTTGAATTCCAAAATGAAGCTCAACCATCATTTATAATTATGCCTAAGCTATCATACTCCATATGTTCAACTTTATTAGATACACTGCCTTTTTGTCTCCCATTTGAACACCTTTTGTATTTGTTGAAAAATTTGAAAACTTTTCTAATCCCTACTCTCATTTGATGGAGGAATTTCATAGGGACCCTATAGGAGGGATCGTTGGGGAACATGTGGGGACGGCCGTGAACACCGATAGTAAATCCAATGAGTGTTTGCAATGAGAGGGCGATTATTGATGTTATTCCTCTTCAGGTCTCTTTCCCGGGTCAAAAACAGAACAAGGACATTGTTCCTTTAGAAAGGTGCGTCTCAAGACGAGACTATGGATGACTCGGACGATGATGAGTCTTCAGGTTATGATTCTGATCAAGAGTTGCTTGATCGGTTAAGTGATCCAAATTGTAAATTGCGGTCACAATTGATGCCAAGAAGAAGTGCTCGATTTCAAGCCAAGATTTCAGCTGTTACGGTTTAAAGCTTTTGTGCTAAGAGTTTTTCAGCTTTAGGGAGGCAGCTCGGTGGGTTGATAGCTATAGGTGGAATGTTCTTCGCGGAGTCATGAATCAGTTCATCTTTTTTTAGCATTATCATCATTTGCTATTCTTTTTCTTCATTAGCTTTCTACCTTCATTGACTCTTTGTATCTCTTTAATTTATTATAATAAAATTCGGTTTAGCTTAAAAAAATCGATCTGTACTAATCATATACTTTCTCACTTTATCCTTTTATTATCTACCATTTAAATTTTACGTAGTAGTTTTTTGTAGACCAAAACTACTTTTCTTTCTTTTAGAAGGTTGCAATTGTAAAATAAATAATGATTTCCTTTACTATCATAAAACTCCTGCCAAACCTGAATATACCATAGATTTTGGGACAGTGGGAGTGCAAAAGATTTATTGCTAATGTATTCCTATAAGCTGATGTGTGTACACCTCGGAGGTGATGGACATAACACTGTACTAGTACTAAATCACTATTTTTGTTTTCATACTTCTATTCCATCAAGGTTCTGTAGTGAAAAACTAAATACTTCCTATTGTTGCATTTCTGAGGAACCTTGGTGATGGACATGAATTAGTGATGTCCATCACAATTTATGTTCATGTCCGAATCAGAATACTAGGTCTTTTTAAATATCATTGTTGCTGATGCTTATTTTCCCAAATCACATTGTTAGTAATAGACATGTTGTCGTGTGATGTTCCACACGACCTTTATGTGAACAAAAGCATGTTCCTTGGAAGAAGATTAACAGGAGAGTTGTTGATCCCTTAATCTGTTTCTGAATAATGAATCTGATGTCTGGCGCAAAAGGGAAGGCAGCACCATACTAGTTGAAGGACCAAGCAAGGTCATAGAGAGTACCTTTGAAACAATTTCATAAACCAGAAATTCACCTTCTCTTTGAATAACCAGATTGGGCCTTCTGGATATAACTACCCACCTTAAAGAGCAGTTGCAGATAACTACCCACAATAAGCTTGTTTTCTAAAGAGGCTTCCTACTATTTGATTAACATTCAGATATTGCCTTCCTCTTTAATTGCACATATGATTTCTTTCTGGTTGGTTCTGATCTTTCCTACAATATCTAATTTGTCTACAGTGGATTGCTAGAGAAATTACATTGTTACAAAGGCGAATTGACCATGCCAATGAAAAGGGATGGCGGAGAGAATATCCTTTTCTATTTTAATGCTACTTGACTTGTGAGTGAAACTTCTTTCTTTGTCAGGACTCTGGATTTATAGTGTGTAAAATGCCCACTGTCAATTTTTATTGCTACACACCTGATAAGTACAGACTGGGGAAGAAGATTCAGTTCATGAATGTTTTGATATGTAGTAGTATACACTAGTATGCTATTAATGATGTTTATATGACTAAGATCTGTATTGGTAAAACCTGAGATATATACCTATCTTTTCGTTTGTTGCCTATCTTATCTGGTTGTATAAAACTTGAGACCTATATCTAGAACATGATTCCCACCAAAACAACCTAGTAACCTACCCAACAAATGAACACCCCACAAACACCCACTAGGCTCCCAAGTAACATAAGAAGTTTGTTAACCTGACTGGTAAATTAATTATTCATTACTATGAACTTAATCCCACCAACCTCAACTAGTTGTCTAGTTAGGATAAAGGTGCTGATAATTGTGATGAATTTGACTTGCTACTTGCTACTTGCTAGACATTTACATAATAAACCGAAGACTTTCATATAACTCTATTGACCAACTCGAGAATCTCTTTGTTTTAATTAGTTCAGGCCAGTTTTGTTAATGGAGGATGGCCAAAATTTCTTCATATGCTGCCACCATTATTCTTCTCGGGCTTAATATGGCGGACTGCTCTATTACTTGGTGCTTCTGGAAAGGAATTTGCTTTAATAATTTATTAAAAAAAATCCCCATTATTGTTTGTTCTAAGGTGTCAGTTACACCCTATGAGTGAAGAAAACTTGTGGAACACTAGAACACTCAACCATCATGCGTTTTTTCTTTAACTGCTTTAGAATTCACATTGCACGAGTACTTGCAGAAAAGACAGCTACTCATGACAAAAACTGAGCAAGACAGATTATTGTCAGAGAAGCCGAAAATATTAGCTGAAGAATTAGAACTCAAAGCTACACCACCAGTTGTTTCAGAAAAAAATGAAGAAAAAAGTTGCTCTCCTGAACCTGAGCAGACTAGACTTTCTAGTGAGAATGTAGAAACTAATGCGGAGGAACCTGAAAAGCAGATAATGTCATTTGATGATCCAGAAGCAGGAGGAGCTAGGTGCTTCATGGGATCAAATCTTAGGGAGGCTTCTGATCTATCTGCTCCAGGTATTTACACAAATCCATCCTTCGAATTTCTTATAAGATGCTCGTCATGTACTAGTGAGATTTACATGCCAAAGATTTTACAACAATAACAACATTACCCCTGTGCCGTAAAGGGGGGGTCGGATGTACGCAGCCTTACCCTTGTACTAAAGCACACTAAATCACTGAGAACTATTTCCAGATGACCCATGATGAAAGTCGTGTCAAATATTGCATGGACTGACAGCCGCTTCATAACAAGAAGCGCAAACAGTTTAATGAGTCATTTTGCTTTATTCCGTCATAACCCCAAGCCAAAAAATAGTGATGCCAAAGATTTTGTTAAAAAAATTATGTTGAGCGAAATAGGTTCATCAATATTACGTTGTGAGTGTAACTGTGTAAGAACAGGACACCATGCTCTTTTTCTCACATGCAAAAACAACGACAACAAAATGACGATGATGACAATAACGACAATAGGAACATAAAGACAAAAAACAGAACACCTATCCCGTGGTCTTCAAATTAATCTGTATAGTGATTTGGTTTTTAGGAAAGCTTCTGACTGAGAGTGATTTGAATCCCTTTTTGTGCAAACAAGTTGAGTATTAGTTGAGGTAATTTGATAGTCAAAGAAGTGGTAGGTTCCTTTAACTTGAACGTCTGCATTTTTTTGTATTAGTTCCAAGATTTTTCTGAATTTGGTTAGTCCTGATATGCTTGAAGAGCAAGTTGACACGAGTATAGGAGATGCCTTGAGGGAATATCTTTTTTCACACATTTTTATGTATAGTAAGAGAATAAACAGGTTTAGGAAGCAATTGTATTTAAGATAGAATTCCAAGATTGTAAATGCAATATTATAATCTACCCACAACAAACAATTTATACTCCATTGTTACAATCACATGTTTCTTCCACTGTACAATATCATAGTTGTCACGTATTAGTTTCCAGGCCCACCAATAAACTCATGTGACACCCCCAATAAATGTTACGCCCCTTGAGAGATAATGTAGCGACCGTGCTAATAGCCAAGGGCGTGTGGACCACCGACTTTATAAGTAAAACTGAGTCTTCAGTTACGAAAAAACAGTGACAGTATGTTATTTTCCTTACTTCAAATGCTTTATTTGGTATTATACCTCAGTGTGATTTATTTTAATAAAAAGTTCTAGCATCTAGACATTCCGAACACTACATTTTTATGTTTCTACCTTGAATTGATATACACTGAATTACATGCCATGGTACTCAATTCTAATGAGCTTGCTGGATACATGTATGATGGTTACATAGACCCCATAAGAGAATCTGCGGTCATTGAATTGAGCGATGATGAAGATGGTGTTGCTCCAAAGTGTAATGGGCTGCCGCCAGTCGGTACAATCCTAAACCCTAATGATGAGATATGGAATTATTTGGATCCACAAGGAGTAGTTCAGGGTCCATTTCCGCTAGTCTCATTATCTCGTTGGTACAAGTCTTCATACTTTCACCCCAACTTTCGCATCTGGAAGACCTGTGAAAGCCACCAGCAATCGGTTCTACTGGTTGACGTGCTTCGGGAATATTCAATGATTTAGTTTTTCGTACTACTTCAGAGCCCTATAAAATTAGGTAAATTTCCATCCACGGGATTCATAGGATATATACATTTATATTACTTGAAAAGATTTGTTATTTTCAACCTTCAAACAGCCTAACATGATCACTCAACATATTCATCTTGGATATGATGTAAACAGCATTAAAATCTTATTTTCTTTTTGTTATTGTTAATGCCATAGCACTCGCAGCATTGTGGTGGTTGATGACCATTCTAGGTACACAATATATATATTCTAGTATATATATGGAGTTTTTGTGTTCATAATTCTTGCAAGAATCAAACTAATCAATTTGGTTATCTGTGCGCCATGAATTATGAGAATAAAAAAAATCGATTCTAAACGAGTTTCCCAGAAACCGGTGACTTCATAAATATGGTGAACTAATTTGTTGAGGCCATAGGATAATCGAGCATCCACCTGCGGTTTTTCCTATTTATCCGCTCTAGGGGAGATTATGGCCCGCTGTTGGAGCAAATCACGCGCGAGCCCATCAGCACAGGTGAGGAACAAATACATTTAGAGGAGCACACATAAGTACATAACAGGTGAGGAACAAATACATAACTAATGCTCCGGATCCCATCAGTAAAAAGTTTGTGTAAATGAGCAAATTTTATGGGGTTAATTTGGGACTTTTGGGTTAGTTCCGCTTAGATTTTGTGTACGGGTATGGGGAAAAATTGGTTCAAATTTATGTCTATTTTAAAAACATACAAAACTAGAGAAAGCATGGTTTTACAAATTAATATTTTCAGAATCGAAGTGGATGTCACAACCTGTCATTGAGATTTACCTTTTCACAAATTAATAATTTTTCGTGAAAACTGTCAAATAGATCCTCGAATTTTCATAAAAAGGTTAAATAAGTCCGTATATAGGAGACTCCGTCCAGTCGTCGCGATTTGGGACGGTTCCTAGTGGAATTTTTTGATGATTTTTTTTTAACATCTTATTCATCAAGTCTAGTTTACTCATACCAAATTTCAGTTAAAACTTCAATCGGGAACGCATTCAAATTAATTCTTGAAGATAACCGTGCAGTTAAATGAGCAGTTATCTTAAAGAATTAATTTGAATGTGTTCTCGATTGAATATTTAGCTGAAATTTGGTATGAGTAAACTAGAGTTGATGAATAAGATGCTCAAAAAAGTTCATCAAAAAATTCCACCGGGAACCGTCCCAAATCGCGACGGCCGGACAGAGTCTTCTAAATAAGGACTTAATTGACGTTTTTATGAAAGTTTGAGGACATATTTGACAGTTTTCCCTAACTTTTCACAATGTATCACTTCAATTTACCTTTTCAATGAGAGTATTCAAATGTGTAAGAAACACTGATTGATAAAAGGTAGGATTATATGTCATTTTAATACAACATAATTAACTTCAGATATAATTCTGAAATTAGGGTATAATGTTTAAAATTTAAAAATGGTTGTTTACATAATAATCGTCACTTTGCTCTTGGAATTTCAATGACATCAAAAGGCTCAAATAAATTGTACGAGTGTCAGGTAGTATTATAAAAATGTAAAAGTAAACTCATATATGATCGAGGAACAATTTCATGATATTCAACGGGTATGATCAACTTTTGTTACGCAATATGCATCTAAGTGAAACATTTGCGGTCGTTTCTATAACCGATAAATTGTCACCATCTTGGAAAGAAGTTAAGAATGACCTTAAACGCAAATATGAAGTTTTGTCAATGGAACAACTTGGTCGTCAACTTCAAATTGAAGAATGTGTTAAGTTGGGCAAAGGTCACAATGATAAAAAGAACGACCTTCCAATTTTCTCTATAAATGTTATGGAGGAGGGACAATCAAGTGGGATTAAGAAATATAAAAAGCGTCTCGAAAAATTAACGATAAAAAAAGAATCTCTTGTTGGGAATGTGGCGGTCCACATTTCAAAAGGGACTACCCGAAGGTAGAGAAGAATGTCAAACCCAATGTCCATCCAACTGGTGGTCAAAACAACCAAGGTCAGAATCTTTTGTAGTTACAAATAATGTTGATAACAACATGATTTTCTGAGTCCTAAGAACATAACAGATTGGTCCGGTCCAATTTTGAACCGATGCACAGTCCTAACGAGGATTAGAAATGTAATCCTAATCACCTTGTCATCCTAATCACATCTCTACTCGTTTTTTTAAACTTTGGGGTTGGTCGAGCCTGTTAAGCTTTCCTAACTACACCAGTGATCACACACCAGCTCTCTAACACTCACTATTTCAAGATCACATGTAACAATATTGCTACTCTTCACGGATATTATGGATAATATCCTAATTTTAATATGATGAAAGAGAAACTACACAATGTAAATCACCACTACCGCCCTCTATCCATGTTGGTTTTCCAGAAACCAACCTTTCGATCTCCTCAATTGCAGGAATGAGGCAATTGCAACACTGCTCTAGATCTTTCATAGAAGAAATGATTATCGTTTCTTGAACCTTGGATTCGCTTCCAAAAGCAGCAGCCGCACTCACGTCTCCTTAAAAAGCACTCTAGAAGCCTAGAGAAGAAGAGAAGCACAAACAATTGGCGAAAGGAAACCCTACGCGACGGCAAAGCTGCTAGGGAGACAAAACCCTACGTGACGTTAAGCCATTAGGGAGACAAAACCCTAAGCCGCAAAACAATAGTTGAGTTTGAAATGTTAATATGTAGTTGAGATAAATGTTAATTTGGCATAAATGTAATGCGTAGTATATACTATATAGTATTACTTAGGCATGGAGCCGGTCCGGTCCGACCGGCCTAGCCCACTACTGTGCGGGCCCGGCCCGGCACTAGTGTTCGATACCGGTACTGGGCTAAGGCCCAACCTGATGGCTATTCCGGGGGCGGGTACGGGACTTGAAACATGCGGCCCGTCCCGGCCAGTCCGAGTTTTTTATTTTTGGTTTTTGGTTTTTTGGGTTGGGTTTAGGTGGGTTGGGCTGGGTGTTTTCGAGGGGTTTGGGAGGTGGGGGGATAGGGGTTGGAATAAATAAGAAAACAAAAAAAATGAACCAGCCCGACTCAAAACCGGTAGACTCTCGGGCCGGTCTCGGGCCTTACCCAAAAAAATCCAAGCCCGACCGAGCCTAAGCCCAAACCGGACCAGGCCCGGTCCACCCTTAGTACTACTACCTCTATCCGTCTAACATTGGAACATGAAGAGGGATGGAGCAACCCGATTAAGAAAAGTGAATTTATGTATTTGATATTGAATCGATAAAGTAAGAATAGAGCTGGACTGAACCGGACCGGTTCGGGCCTCGGGCCTGGGCCCGGCCGGGCCTCGGTTCAGAATACTGAGGCCCGAGCCCGAACCGGGGGTGGCCGGTTCCGGGCCGATTCCGGGCCAGACCGGGCCGGGCCTCGGTTCAGAATACTGAGGCCCGAGCCCAAACCGGGGGTGGCCGGTTCCGGGCCGATTCCGGGCCAGACCGGGCCGGGCCACCTGCCTTTTTTTTTTGGCTTCTTTATTTAATCCCCTACCCCTCTTCCTCAACCCCAAACCACCTCAAATGGACCAAAATACCTAATCTAACCCAAAACTTAAAAAAATTTCAAAAAAAATAAAAAAATAAATTATTTCCGGCACGGACCGGGCCCGAACCGGCCGGGCCGGTTCACCATATGGAAGGCCCGGGCCCGAAACCGGGAACCACGGGGCCGGTTCGACCCGAACCGCCGGTGGACCGGGCCGGGCCGCCCGGCTCGAGTCCAGGCATAAGTAAGAATAGTGAATGATTTAGAAGTTAGAACCAACAAACTTTGTTAACTTTGGTATGAAACAATCTTAGTGGAATTTCCATAAAAAGAAAAATGAAACAATTTTAATCAGACAAGGGAATTATATTACAAAGATCACTTAACTAATGAGTGAATAAGACGTTTTTAAAATTTGTAATGCATCAAATTTTAGTCATTTCAAATACAAGTGATACTGCTTTTTCATTAGTTATAATTTTTTACTTGTTATAAATTATGAGAAACATAATAAATCAAATTGAAAGTATTTCATTCTCATTTCTCTACATGCTCAAACTTTTAGGGGTGAGCGGGCCAACCTCACCCTCGGCTCCACCTGTGTCTTCAGCCCAGTTCAATACAAATTCCCCGTCAACCCATGATCATCCATCAAATATTCAATGTCCATACATCTTCCATCAATTAAGTTATAAATAATCTACACAGCACTTGCGCACATCAAAATTTTTCCTGAGCAGCTGTACCAACTGTGCTCTGGTAATGGTTTGTCGCTTACCACATTCGCTCAAAATCCAAAAATCATGCGGTTTGTTGGGTCAACAATACTATTTACATGCCAGATGTTTACTTTTCTTGTTTCCGACTCTCTTTTTAGAACTACTAGTTTCAGGACCTTCTTCTTCTTCAGCCTTCTGCTCCGCCTCAAGAATGGCCAGCTGCAGTTTGAATTTATATGTTTAGAACATTATTATTCCATAGGTATTCATTAGTGGCTAACCAGAAGTAGAGCATGTACTTTACCTCATCAATAATCGGTTTGAGCTCCCTGTACCGGGATTTAGCAAGATCAAAGCCATCCTTGCGCAGCTCCTGCAATCAACGCCCTAAATTAGTTAAGGCCTATTTTTGCTTTTACCTTCCAGTGAAAGAAATATGAAAGGAATTTGGAAAACAAACCTTTCCGGTGTGTTGTGTGTGTTCATATGCTGCCATTTGCCAGTATGTGTTTGTGCGTTTATAGAAGTCCCTCAAAGACTCCCCAGGCTTCAGCACATAAATGTTTAAAGCATATTAGATTCACTGATATAAAATAATGATGGCACTTGTATTTCCAAACGGAAAATCTGAGACTGCAGTCAGTAGGAAAATGGAATCCAAATTATATTCATTTAGTAGTAGTAATATGTACAGAACAGAGCATTTTTAAGTTTGTATCAAAGAATGGCATCATGAGATAGAAATTTAGACTACCGCTGGTGTTCTCTGAGAGTCGGAGAGACCAAGATGAGCCCTGATTTGTTCAATTCTAGCCCGTTTCTCCTTCCTTCGAAGAGTTTTTCCTTCACCCTTCACTATAGCCACAGCATCTCCCATTTTGATTGATCTTGAACTATCAGTACCAGCCTTTTCATAAATATAAGTGTCAAATAACATGCATCTCGTCATGGTTGAATCCGGAAAGTAGAAGATTGTTTTTAAAAAGTAGAGGCATGTCTAAACAAAACGGAGTAGTTTCAAGATTATGAGAAAGAAAGAGACCTCTGCACT